AATGGGTAAGCAAGGCAAGAGAGGAACAAATAAAACGGAATGTTGGCTCTAAAAAGTGACTTTGAAATGGATAATTTCCAAGCATCAGACTATAATCTATTAAGGAGTAATAAAAATTAAAACTATAGGTAAATTAAATGTAGTTTGTGCTTTCCATAAAGTTGGAGAAGATAGAAGACAGTCTTGATACGAATATCTGAAAGCATGTAAACTCAAGTTTTTGCTTTGTTTTGTCCCGTTTTCCCTTTTTCATTTGGTTTTGCTGTTGGATAAGGCAGATAATATAATCTCTCACAAATTAAAATAGAGTAATTGTTGTACTGACATCCTTTATTTTGTTTGTTTTACATATTAAAATAGCAAAAATGTTATTTTGCTATGTAACATTTCTCACATGAACACTTTTATTCAAGTCATACACCCAAAATAAAAACATTTCACACTGTCATTTTTGTTCATAAGTTGTTTTAAGCTGTTTGTAAATAACTGAATTAGTTGAGTGACTTGGAACTTTTATTAGGAAACGTTTTATCTCATAGTGTGCTATTACAATAGTTGTTTGATTGCCCTTACTTGCTATGTGTATTAGTATGTGAATTCAGTGCCACCAGGAAAAATCAAAAGCTACAAACTTGTGTTCAGAATCACCAAAGAAATTTGTAGCAATATCATACAAAATTCCCTTCTTGATGTCAAAACACAAGTAAAATTTTATGACTGCATTACTAGTCAACTGACTATAGTAAGAATCAACAAACTATGACTGTGGGCCAAATTGAGTCCAGCATCTTTTTTTGTAAATAAAGTTTTATTAGTAAAGAGCTACACTGATATGTTTATAGATCACCAATGTCTGCTTTCACATGTGTACAACTGCACGGCTGAATACGTGTGACAGACATTACATAACTCACAAAACCCCAAATAATTATTATCCACACAAAAATGCTGCATGTTACTGTACAGAATTTGTATATATATAATGAAGATAAATCTCAATCTCTAAATTAGATTCAAAATATATGGTTTCCCAGATTGTATTTGTTTATATTGCCATTATTAACTCAACAAATAAGTATTGAGCAACTTCTGTGAACCTGAATCTTTACTTGGTGCTGGAAATATAGCAGTAAACAAAACAAAATTTCAGTCCTCAAACAGTTTGCATGCTAATGGTAAACTAGATGACCAGCACTCAACAAATCAACAAAATAAATAGAAGATATATTTTGAAAAATAATGTGCATCCCAAATCATCATATTTGCTATGGATAAAACAAAATTGAAAGAGATTAACAAGTACCTATTTACCACTATGTATCATTTTATACTTTTACTTACATTGGTCTTGAATAAAATGAAATTATAAGCCAGTAAATCTAGTAAAACAAGACCAATTTACTCCTAAACTCAAAGGCTTGTGTACTTGACACTGTCAGTTCAAATACCCATTAAAATACTCTAGTTCTCCTCACTTTTAATTTGTGCATGTTTCTGAGCCCACAATTCATAACAGAATGAAACCAGAAAAGAACTGTTGTATGAAAAATTAGTTTCCACAGGAAAATACACCACATTAAGCTAGTCCCTATAATTCTTCCAAAATTCTTCAATATTATATGAGAATGGTATATTTAATATAAAAATGTTTATGCCTGGGTAGTAAATAATAATAGCTCAAGAATAATAGCTCAGCACATTTAGAAGGCAGGAGACACACTATGATAACATTACCAATTTTCCAAACATTTCCTAATCTCTTCTTTTCCCAACTAAAAAGGAAGTACTGATTTAAAAGTGTCCCAAAATAAAAAAGGAACTTTAATTGAGATATAAATGAATACTTTTCATATTATTTTAATCTAACTATATACTTACCATTAACAAAAGTCCCCTGTGTTCTTATTATTTTTCCAAAGACATTGCCAGAGCAGTGGTTCTGCTATGGGCAAGAAATAGAAGAATTTGAAAAAAAAAAACTATTGTATTAGGTCATACACTGCCTCCAATTATAAAAAAAATAACTTTTTATCACTTCTTTAGTATTTTCTGTGTTCAATAACTGTAAACCTTGTTAAAAATGTTAACTGTTTCTAGGCCTTTGAGTGCACTATTATGAGTTAAAAGCAAGTTGATTATAGATCAAGACTCTAGGAAATCACAAGAACTCCTATAAAGTTGTACAAAATGAAAACCTGTTCCTAGTGTTTTACTTTGCTTAGCTGAAGTATACTTAGCATGATTCAAAAATATATAACTTTTCCCAGATTTGTAAGTATTCATTCTCTAGTTAGAGCTATAAAAAATGATTAAGCTCCTGAAACTAATAACATAACAAGAAAACATTTAACAAGATGAGGAACAAGGTTCTGCTTCAGGAGGAATTACTAAAAATGTGCTGGAATTTCAAGAACGCCATTATCAATGTGATAGCTGTTTATGACATCCCTAACAGTATCTGAGGAAATGCATGTACAGAAGCAAGAGGGCAAATAATAGGAAAGAAAATTGCTGGGCATAAAGGGACAAATATACTTTCTATTAAGAAGATTTTATGTGCTTCTGATAATAATCATATTTATTTCCTACAACATGAGCCACATATAAAGTAAGTTATAGGATAATGAGTTGTAAACAAAATAAGACATTTGTTTCCACTTATCCTGTCAATAGTTTTTCTGAGTACACAGTGATATTTATACATGAAATTCAAACAAACTGTACCAGAAATAAGTTATCATAAAATACATACACTCAAGAAATAATGTTTTGAAGAGTGGAATTTCTCAAATTACTATTACCAAATGCTGCATCAGTCAAGACTGAGAAAAAGAAATAAAAATCACTTCAGAATTCAAGCAGGGGGAGATTTACTACCTAAGGTTTTAGAAGATCACTGGAGGAGCAAGAATTGGAATCTGAAAAGCTTGTCCTGAGCTAATACATTCAAGGACACAAAAATGAAGTGGAGGTCAGTGTGATACTTAATTGTGGTGTCAACTTTAATAGATTATAAAAGGTAGAGCAGATTAGTGGAACAAGTTCTGAGTGGGTCTGGATGACTTGTAAACTGAAACTGAGAAGGGAAGACCCACCCTGATGGTACTGCCAACCAAAAGGCCTTGTAGCTTAGATGGAATGAAAAGGGAAACAAGAATAAAGTCTTCCCTTTTGCTTCATCTGAGGATCTCCAGTCTTCCCCATCACCTTTGGGGCTTCATCTCCAGTTCCTTCAGGCTACCAGTATGGACTATTCAGCCTTCCACGGCAGACTCTTCATCTTTCCAATATAGATGCTGTGGTGATCGCCACGCCTTGAACTTTTGACTGGTTCTCTGGCTCTCCATGGTGCAGATAGACCTTTCACATTCCTTGATCCCTAGCCCCACAGATGGTTACTGTAAGCCTATATTGTAAATTTTATTGTAAATATTATATTACATCCATTCCTCTGGTGAACTCTAACTGGTATAGTCAGGAAGCTGCGTCTGATCTTGGCTCTGCTGCTTGCTGCCCCGGGCCCTCACACTTACAGAGCTGGTGTTTCAGCACTCACATGTGGCCCGCGGGTGTGCAGGCCGTCTCTTCTGTCTGACATTGCTTAACTATAGTCACCAACAGGAAGATGACCCTGCCTTGCTTCTGAATTTCAAGAGCTTGTACTAAGCTACTAGCAAGAAAACAATATAGATAAAGTCAAATGAGAGTGGACTAGAGATAGAAACTGAAAGATTTAAAGCAAGTAGTAGACCTCAAACTCTTACCCAATATTCCAAAATTCAAAAACTCTGAATCTGCAAGACTTTCAAAAAAATAGCTCACTTTGTAAATCTGAGCCAATATGAAATATTTCAGTATTAAAACCTGGCCTGAAAATATTGTAAGGCTATATTTTATTTTTATTCATCTTTCTAATGACAATATGTATATGATCCAGTGTGTAAATGTCAATTTATTTGAATAAAAGGTGACTTGAGCTTCTGAGACTGTTATGAACTGTAAGTAGAAATTACAGCAAGTATTAGAAGGTCAAATATCATATTGTTCTGAGATTCACAAGAAATAGATATTTTACCCAACATCTGCTTAGTATGACTCTTCAAAACAGCTATAATAATTACAAGGCAAAAGAGAATCAGAGTGGTCTTAAATCTCCAGCATAGCTTCTTCCTTCCTGCCACATTAGGAATATTCTAGCTCTATCCTACGCATCCTCCAAACACATGTGCAGTCCCAAAATTAAATTATAAGCTGCGTCTATTTTAAATGATTTAGATCACGTAATATTTTAGGGAGTTTTGCCTAGTGTACTTATATATTTCAGGTTTTCATGATGTTATCAATCCTAGGCAACAAACCCACCTGTTGAAACATTATAAAGACAAAGATTCTAACACTAATATATGCCATTAATTTGCTACCAACAGCTAGATATTGAATATGTTTGTAATAATTGACTTTTTGTGTGTGTTAATGATTTGACCAAAGCACCACTCTCTGCAAAGGAAGGGAATAAACTTCTGAGCAGTTGCATATCCATTTTTGTCCCAAGGTGTATGCACCACATTAACTTTCTAAAATCTGAAATATCTTCTGAATTACATCAGGCTCCAAGGATTTAAAATGAGCCATTTCAGATTTACCTTAACCACAGTACCTTGCTTTGCTTTTCAATGTATAGATAAGCTTCTATACATATTTCTCCTTTCAAATAACAGCTTTCCTATGTATAATCTAACATTATGTATCCTTGGTAAAAAGAAAGATTACCTTATAACCTCAAAATGGGAGGCTTGAAATTACATACATTTCTAGATTTCTGCTCTAGAAAATCAAGTGTCATTATTGTTTTGTTTTTTTTTTTTCTTTTTGGTACTGTGGATCGAACGCGGGTCCTTGTGCTTGTGCAGCAGGTGGCGAAACCACTGAGCTAAATCCCTGGCCCAATTGTATATTTTTTAAATTGGGATCTGTATTATACTTACCAGAAAATATTTTTACTCCGATTCTTTTATCTCTGATTTGGACCTGGCTGATGACTCTCAGCCTGGAAACTTGGGTCCTGTGAAAATAGAACCCAGAGCCCAGGAACTTCAACATATTAAATATCTAGTGTGGTATTTAAAAAATATATATAAAAACATTGATAACCAAAATGTTTGTTAAAAAATTCAACTTGTCCATATGCCAATTTTAGAAAATCAGGGATATCTTAGGAGGTATTAGAAATTTGCATTTTTGTTAAACTCCATTGATGATCTCCATACACAACGTAATTTAAGGACTAATAGTCTAACTGAACCATGCATGTATAAAAATAAAGATGCAGAAATTTATTAAAATGTTAAGTACATTTGTTTTAACTTGGTAATATCATCATAAATTCTGTATGTTCACTTATTTTATTTCATTTTTATGTGGATTTTCTTGGACAAAGAAGTAAATCAAAATGTATAAATTATATTTGTCACATTCTATATCTGCCTGTCCTCTCAAAGCCTCATGTGATCATGGGTATGGCTTTTGTGTGATAATTGGATCATGGAGATATGATGCTCATAAGTGGATTAGACCACAGATGAGTTTACAGCTAAATGTGATGTTGGGAGATGAATCCTGGCCTGAGGAACTGTGTAACTGGGGTGTGGTTTAGAGGAATCTAACACCCCCATCTCTCTTCTCTTCATACCTCTGTCGCATGAGCTCTTTCTCCTCTGCCATGCTCATCTGCTCTGCAGCCCTACCTTGGAGACAGCCAAGTATGAACTGAAATGTCTACAAACTGTGAGACCAAATATACCTTTCCTCCTTAGAGTCGTGGGTGTCGGGGACAGTGCTTCAGTGATGAGAAAGTAACTAATAGATTATCTATAGGACTTTACAGATATGTGCTTCAGAAGACATGGGACAACAGAAGATGGAATGAAGACCATCTCTGTCACACCCTTTAATGTGCTTCTGAGTACTGATAAAAAAATAACAAAACCAATTTTGAAACTGAATTTTGTCTTAAATTGAACAATCTTTTGGTAACATTTAATCTTTCATTAATATTTTACGTAAAAACAATACTTAATGTTAAATTATTTTTAAATTTACTTGGCTAAATGATAATTAAAAGTTCTTCTCAGTATATAACAGTCAATAATTCCAAGATTTTACATTTGTTCCTATAGAAACACAGAATCTTTCTCTTTTAAATTTACTTGATTTAATTTTGATAGATTGGTTATTTGGTTGTTGAATTGAAAGTTGAATAATTTTGGATACAGTTACTCAACTAATCCTAATTTTATCTTGGATCAAGAAAAGAGCTCAATTATAGTCACTGTAAGCAAAATAATGAAAATTTCTTTATGTAGCACTGGCCTCTTCTAATCAGAGACTTTTCCTAAAACTATTAGTCCTTATCTTAAATAAGAACACACAGGGATACTTAGTAGAATTCAGTGATATTGTTTTATTTTTTGTCTTTGGGTTGATTATTTTAGGTTATAAATAGCTTTAAAATATTTTCTTGTATTTATTTTGAACATATGCAAAATTATAATTTAAAAGGAGGTTTTCATCTTCATTAGTTGACATTTATGGTATGCAAAGTGAATCTTTCCAAGGGACTTTAAATAGAGGACCAGTCACCACATAAAGATGTGGATTACTGAATCATTCTTAAAATCTTGATTTTTATTAACATATAAATCAACTAAAGATATATGTATCTTACTTTAGGAAATATATATTAGTATCTGTATGTATATATTGGTGTGTGTGTATTTAAATTTACTTTTCTAAATCAAGCATTGTGCTAAACATGGGGATTGAGCAAAAATATATCCTTTATACCTCAATAAAGGTAATTATAATATGGTTTAATTAATTTTCATATTATAAATTTTATTGAAATACACGAGTTACTTACTTTTGAGATGCATGCAGAAACCTCAAGTATTACCAAAGTAATTATATTTCAGAGGACACAGGAGCTATGTGTCTTCCAACTATCTCTTTTGAGATATGGCACTTTTAAAGCCAGAGTGTACAGTGATTGCCTAGTCCAGGGATGGTGAACCTTTTAGAGATGGAGTGCCACACTGCAATACAAAACCCACTTAAGTATCTTAAAGTGCCAACACTTTAATACTGAGGTTTTGGTTAAGAAAAACCAACTGATACATTAGCAAATTTTCTCTGAAAAGAAAAATATAATAACTCTCAAGCTACAGGTTCACCACCACTGGCCTAGCCTGGCTCCTTTGATGATTCATAGATCATGGGTCCCTAGGTGCAGCTGATGTTTTCCATTGGACTGGGCTGAGCAAATTCAGCATCATAAACAGAGGAAATGACTAGTCATTTACTTTTTCCTCTAACTGCTGGGTGCCCCTGCTGCTCTCTGGGATTTCTGTTAGTTTTGAAAGGATAATGCAATGGTAGACTCATGAGATCTATAATCTTAGAGTTGGAAAGGGCATAAACGATCACTCACCACTTCCCCATTGCAGATAAGGAAGCTGAGGTGGTGAGGCTCAGTGACCTCGCACAAACTCCAAGTGTGGGTTGGCAGCAGAACCTGTGCCAACACTGAAGCACCTAGACCTCTTGACCAGCCTTTTCTTATGCTTTGATGCCTGTCTCTAAGGACAGCTATCTCTAGCTCATTCTAGGCCAGGCAGGATTGTGGAGACCACCTTCTAGATGATGATCCCTTCCCTAGCGTAGACTCTCAAGAGTGTAACCAAACCAATCATTGCTGCTAGGACTTAACAACAATTTAAAAACAGAATCAAGCAATTCATGAAGACACCCAGAGATAATTTTTTAATTAGTACATATTGTCAGTGCATAATGTTTGCATTCATCATGGGGAGTTGTTACATAGATAGATAGATAGATAGATAGATAGATAGATAGATAGATAGATAGATAGATATGACATATATATCATATCATAATTATTTTTATTTCCTCCTCCTTTCCTCTCCCTTTCCCTTACCTCCAGAGTTTTAATATAACTTACACTCTTACAAACATGTGGGACACATTACTTCAGAAAGAACTTGGGGGAGTTATATATTTTTTAAAAAGGAAATGATAATGTCATGTTTTGATTCATAAAAATTATGATCTGTAGGACCACAGCACTGCTAGAGCTATATTCAGTACAGCCTTATCAAGTCTCTATCTGAGGTGTGGAATTAGTCTATAGTCTAACAAAACTTGCTAATTCCATTTAGAGTATATTTTAGAAAAATTTGGGAGGCCTTAGCTGGAAGGAAGGAGCAGTGCTTTAAGGTCGATCATGTGAAAGCAGTCTCTCACAAAAAAAGCCATCTGTTCTCCTCCAGTTCTTCATGATGGAGACAGATACTCATGTAGACCAAAACCAGATCACAATCTCTGAGTCTAGCACATAATTCCATTTTATACATTTTTTCCCACAGTGCTGAAATAACCTGATATTCTGGAAATAGAAATACAGTGCAGGCCAGAAGAATATTCTACTTTGTTCATTTTAGAAGTCATTTTAGAAGTTTAAAGTGCTTTTCATTATTTTAGCAAATTTGACTACTTAAGGCAATGCTGTTGTATCATATGGATGCCAACTGCAGCATTATTGGCAACATTAGTTGTTGCATATAACTCCTTTTAATTCAATGTAAGTATACATAAAGCCTTTACATGTTAAGATATATATTATTTCAGAGTTAGTTGCTTTCCTTTTTGTTTTACAAAACATTATATTGATTTTTAAATTTCATGGATAGCTCTATGATATCATCCATGAATTTCATTTCCGCCTCATGAGCAGGATCTAACAAGATACTTGTTTTAAGAGAGAAATATTGGGTTAGATGACAGTGAGAGCAATATAGTCAGTCAATTATTGCATGGATCAAAATTTTCTACATGACCTTTTCATTAAAATGTAATTTGTGTAGCTAACATACAATACTCTGGCATTTTAATTTGACCTTAACTTCTCACACATAATAAAATTAATTATGGAAATACTAATTCTTCTTCTCCCTATGTAAAGACTTTGGCAAAATTGCATGGAACACTTTTAAGCGATATTCTATGAAAAAGAAAAAAAGTACAAATCTTCAGGAAAGTAAGTGCATCGAACTTGCTATGTCTCACTACAGTGCTCTGGCCCCCAGAAGACTGAGATTAATTAATTTGTTTGAAAATTAAATATTTTTTTGTTTACAGATACCAAGGCCATGTCAGAATTTCAGCAGGCTAAGTTCTTTCCTCACCGCATGTAGTTAAGTTCTTTATTCATCAGAGTGCCCAGGAACCCAGGAGGACAGGCTGAACCCACAAAACTACATTGGGAAGGGTTTGGTACATTTGAATGGGAGAGTAGGGAATGTTATATCATAATATGGAATTAATTAATATAATAAATTCATATAATAAATTGTCTATTATAGTATATTAATTATTAACATATTCAATATAAATTAATATAAACAGCTGAGCATTTTAAACTTTCTTTTATTTTAAATCATCTGTAAGTTTCACTAGTATAGATATTTTACTATAGAAAATAAATTACTGCTGGGGGATTTAGCTTAGTGGTTCCACCGCCTGCCTTGCAAGCGCAAGGACCCAAGTTCGATCCCCTGTACCCCCCAAAAAAGAAAATAAATTTCTGATTTATTTTATCAGTTTTATTACCTCTGCCAAATAGGATTATTGTAAACACATGGAAGTTAATTGAAATATTTTAATCAAAATTTTATACATTGTCATTTTCATATGGGCTGAATTCATGATATGTTCAAATTAAATATTAGAAATACTGACTATATATTTAACCGAAGATCATATGAATTACAAAATATTTGACCAAATAAATAAACTTTCCTATTTTCATACATTTTCAAACAGAATGTTAGTACAAAATATTTTGAAACACTTATATATGGTTTTATATTTCTCAAAACTGGTTGAATATAAAAACGGGTGAATATTCCTCAGAGCTAGGAAGGTGATAAATGATTCAACTTGCCTCATTTTTTCTCTCCTATACTACCTCTTAAAAGAAAAAAATAA